CAAGTTCGATCTATAGGTCTGGTGCTCAGCCCCTTGTGATGATGCACATCCCACCCAAGACTTGTATGGAATCATGATTAAACGCTTTACATGACGGCTGATTATTCAGTGCTAGTACAGTGCACAGCTGAATGTTCTCAGTTGATGGGCAGAATAGACCACATTCTCCTTCCCAGAGTTCCTTGCAGTTAGATCACCGAAAGTATCTCTGCCACCACACACCGCCATTTTGTGGTGAAACACCACAAGAATTTTACTACGCGTATCATTTGCGTGTTTTTGTTATTAGATGGCTTTCGTGTTGATTTATTCCTACTTGAAAACAAGTTTCAAATTATTTCGTCGATAGCTGATAATGATTTGTTCGTAAACACACTGAAAACGGTGAAATAGTTATAATTTACAAAAGAAAATAATTTCATCGCGGAATAACGGTTACTAAGGTGTTATTCGGTTCATCAAGCTGACGGCCCTGTCGATAGCTAGGCGAAGACGTATGAAGAAAGGAAAGCACTTCGTGGTATTGACAGCGAACACGTTCTATTGCCACTCAGTGTGTGCTAAGGAAAGTAAAAATATGAGCTTCTCACTAAGAAAATAGCCAGAATCTACAAACAACGCGCACACTTCGTTGGGTTCGAAAATCGAACACCTGCATTGCAATGTTTTGGTGAGTGTCTTTGAAAGTAGTACCACTGTGACGCATCGACCAATCAACGACAAGTACAAGATCTGCGTGGTGGCAGAGATATATTCGTAATAGAACTCTGCCTGGGGAGATTGAATAGACCATTTTCCCGTTCACTGAGAGAATCGCGCGTTATACGTGAAATCGAACAAAAAAACTGGACAAACGAAGGTCGTAGTCGCGTCAAACATTGCGTGGGATTCGACAAACGCGAAAGTATTTCGGGGACATTTCTATGCTTAATGTGCTGTCCACATTTGATGATAGGCAATTTCGATTAAGTAAGGGTATTCGGAAGCAATATTCCTGTCGAAGATCGGCCGGTCAATGTAAGCTGCGAAATAAAGAAATTTTCGTTCAAAATCAAATCGTTCGATTTTTGCGGCAGACGTTCGACGCGCGTCTTTCATGCATCTCGCGAGATCTCGCAATTGTACGGAAAATCACCTATTAGAGCCAATCTAATGGACTTGAAAGATGAGCTCAAGGGCAACATGCATTACATATTGCGTCCGTGTTCAAGATCTATCTCAAAATAGAAATAACCGAGATGCCCTTCATTAGTGAAGTCGTACAGACCCAGTAATCAGTGGCGGTGTATAAGAAAGCAACGTTTTACCACTTTTATATTAATATACGTAATTGGCATAAGAGGACAAGACTCTTTCATTGTAAAATTCACATCCATCATATGTGTTAATATTTCATTTATTTAACACTTTATTTAAAGAGGGTAGGCCAATATACAATAATTTTCATTGGGCCCTCTCTGTAGGGACAAAAAACGCACTATACACACTATAGGCTTGAGCCATTTACAACATATTTTTCCCCCCAGATAAATTTTGTAAGTTTTCTTAAAAAGACTGAATTTCTGATATGGAAAGTTATTTTATAGGGTTACCACTCTATACTGAAACGTCCTCTGACCCATGGATGTTTTCCATTTAGTAATTTGTAAATTATTTCTAAGAGGAACGTGTACTATACTTGTGGGTTTGGGAAATAGGACTGAACATTTTACTTGTATATAAAGGCGCCAAGCCATTGGTTGCCATATACATTACGATACCTAGAAAATGTGAAATTCTGTAATCGATAGGCAAGATACTATGTTTTTTAAACAGTTCAACTATGATTGGCTAAAGTTGTCGGAGGAAATCACACGAACTGCCCTTTTCTGAAGCTTATACACCAGACATAAATTTGATTGACTTCTTTGCCCATACTATACTATACAGCAATAGTCCAATAACGACTGAATAAATGAAAAATACAATGTTCTTCTGACGGAAATACGGGTAAGAAGCTGCAAACCCTCATAAGAACACCAATTCTTTGGCCAAGCTTTTTACAAAGCATATCAACATGATGATCCCATGATACTTTTATCTAAAACCACCCCAAGCGACTTTTCAAAACTGACTGTTTTAATTATTTCACCATTGAAGTTAACCAGAAAATCTTTGCCATTATTATTTAGCCTTTGACGGGATCAAACAAGCATAGATTTTGATTTAGATGTGTTGATTGACATGTAATTGCAATTAACCCAACGCAAAATTG